GGCGGGGGGCCCCCATAACAACCCAATCTCTCATCACCACATACACAGCAGGGGGCCCCCTTGGGGGGGCCCCTCTGGGGGCCCTCGAGGGGGTCCTCTGTGGGGGCCCCTGGGGGGCCCCCTTGGGGGCCCCCTGAAGGGGCCCCTGAAGGGGCCCCTGGGGGGGCCTCTATGGGGGCCCCCTCAGGGGCCCCTGGGGGGTCTTCTGTGGGGGCCCCCTCGGGGGGCCCCTCGGGGGGCCCCTCGGGGTCCTCAGTAGGGGGGCCCCCCCCCTTTGCTATCCATAGAGCTGCTCTGTACCCATTAAGAAGCGCCGCGCATGCTTGTTGCTGCTGTACAGTCTTCTGCTGCTGCTGCTGCTGCTGCTGCTGCTGCTGCTGTTGCTGCTGCTGCTGCTGCTGCTGCTGGTGCAGCAGCTGTATGGTGAGTGTTTGTGTTTGTGGTGGGGGCTGAGGCAGCATAGAGACGACCCAAAGATCACAACAATTAATTTTATTTTTTTTTGTTTTTATTTTTGTTTCTGTTTTTATATTTATTTCTTTTTCTTCATTTGGGGTGTATATACACCCCCGCCACACCTGCAGTGCTGCTGTCCCCCCCCTTTCTTTTAGTTTTGTATTACTCATCAGACTCAGCTGCAGCAGCAGCTGCTGCTGCTGTTGCTGCTGCTGCTGCTGCTGCTCCTCCTCCTCCTCCTGCTGCTCCTGCTGCTGCTGCTCCTGCTGCTGCTGCTCCTGCTGCTGCTGCTCCTCCTGCTGCTCCTGCTGCTGCTGCTGCAGCAGCAGCTGCTGCTCCTGCTGCTGCTGGTGTGTATCTGCGGCAGGACACAGCAGCAGCAGCGCGGTGTATGTACACCCGAGTGGTGCTGCTGCAGTGTCTATGGAGGCCCATCCTTCTGCTGCTGCTTCCTGCAGCTCAACCGGCTGCAAACGAAGAGACCCTGCACCGCACAGTTACATATAACACAAAATATTTATATTTATATTTATATTTATATTTATATTTATATTTATATTTATATTTATATTTATATTTATGTTTATATTTATATTTATATTTATATGTATGTATATTTATATATATATGTATATGTATATATATTTACTTATTTATTTATTTGTTTATATATTTATATTATCGATATATATTATATGATACTTGC